TACCAACAATGATGCATCTGCCCCTTCTTCTCTCTTGGGATCATATATCTATAACCAACCCTAGATACCTATGAAGTACAGGAAAGCAGGAACAGATAGTTGGCATACTAGTTTGGCTACTTGATGGTGATTCACTGGATTGGCTGCCTACCCTGATTCACAGCTTATACATAATATCCATTCCCACCAGAAAGAATGAGCTATGCATAACCTATACTTGACTTAGGACGTTCTCCTCATAATTTATGATTGCCATTGTAGAATGAATAGACACAGAGATTGATGAGTGTTTGTCTATGATAGCCTCGATGGTGTTGAAACTCAACCCATGTACCAGACATTCGCCCCGAAAGGAGACCTCCTCTTGAAATAACAAGATGTTCTATTTCGTTCATAGCAGAGTCGGATTTTAACTTCGTAATCACCCTTGCAAAACATGCCTGCTAACGGCGAGACATCAACTATTGCCTTCTCTTGGCTAGCGAGAGGCTTTGACTCTCTCCACAAGCCTTGGCCTCGTGTTCGAGAACCACGAGTCTTGCTTGGTAATGAAGTGCTCAGGGGTATCACTTTCAGTCTATTAATAGACGAGGCATGCGTACTTGAGATACATTTATTGCCATTCCCGTCCCGAATTGGTAGCCTGTACAAAGCCCGTTTCCTGGTGTGGTGCATCATTCATTCCAGTGTAAATCACGTGACTCCGCGATGCAGCATTCCAATTTGGGTCAGTTGCTCTGACAACGCTATCCGTTGCTTCGTGGATGCTTCACACCACACCAACCATGTAGATCACGTAACAATTCAAGTTTCTTCTCCAACCTACACAGTTTTCAAATCCATGCCAGGCTAGATCCTCGCCTCTAGACCACCACGTGCTTATTCCAGCATTGTCTAACCTGAAGCGTTATCTACATGCCAGCAACTTTTGCACAGCTGCTGTCGTAGCAAGCTGAAAGCTTCAGCTTTTCTCACTCCCGATTTTATCCTTCACCCCACCACCATGGCTCGGCTTGCCGATATTTGTCCCTCTAGCGATGACGACCTTCCCGACCTGAAGACTCTAATTCGGAAGCAAGGTACCAGAGCAACCACGACAGCATCTGACACTACGAGCTCATCTACCAAGCCTGTCGCCTCGAAACCCACAGCCAAGTCTGAAACTCGTCGAGTACGTCGTCTCGGAGAACCCAGCAAGGCCACAGGGAACCCACTCTTTCAACGATGGAATTCAGAGGAACACCAGAGCTCTCAAGAGGCTAGGTCAAGAGGATCGGGCAGGGCATCACGAAAGACAACACCAAGCGAGTTAATTTCACCTCCGTTTGAGACTAGTCCTGCCTCAGACTCTGAATCTGAAGATGACCTGCCCCGCGCTCATGTCCAACGGCAGAGGAGGCGGCAACCGACCATTGAGGATTCCGATGAGGACAGCGACTCCCAGGAAGAGACAGAAACATTGCTCACGAGGGTACGGCGACTTCAGAAGACCAAGGCGGCCGCGGTGACAGCGCCACCTCAGGAAACAGAGAAGCGAGTGCCAAGGGCCAGACCGGAAAGCAAGTCAAAGGCTTTGATGTTTGCAAGGGAGATTGAAAGTGGGACAGACACTGAGGTAAACCGGGAAGAGAGCGAGGCTGAGGAGCCAAGCGTGTATCAAACTGCAGGCGAGGACTCTTCTGACTCTGCCTCTGAGCTGGACTGGTTGAAGGATTCCCCAGATCAACCAGCTCGAACGAAACCGGTGAGGTCGGTCAAGGTTCAGCCTCAGAGGACATCTGGCACAAGGGATAATGCTTCCCTAATAAAGAATGCCCCTTCCCTGAAACCCAAGGCCAGGACAAGCCAGAATACCACGAAGGAGACGGCATCGAGTAAGGAGGTTGCTCAATCCCGGAAGACGAGCCAAACCAAGCAACGGGAGGGTTCACAAGACACGACAACTGCCTCAGACCTCGCTGACACTCTATCCAAACTTCGACTTCAGCTACAAGACTTTTCCGATGAGGAGGGCAAATCGTCAAAGAGGGATCAGTTCACCACGCCTCCCAGCACACCGCCAAAAACCTCGAAGCCCAAGGGGCTCATGTCTCCGAGCAAGAAGGTTCAGATTCCCAAGACTCCTCACAGGCCCAGCATGGACGCCTTTTGGAATCAAGATACGGTCAACGAGTGGAATGACCATCATTCACCACGCAAACTGCTGCTTCCACCAGTAACAAAGAGCCCAAGCAAAGCGAGCCCAAAGAAAGACCCCAAGAAGGAGACCAAGAAGGCCTTTGCCGCGAGGAAGCATGCTCTGGCTGAGAGTTTCCTCGCCGAACTCGACCGTGAAATCACTGAGGGTGAGATTGCAAAACTTGCCGAGTCTACTGGTGGTGTCAAGCTTGTCTGGACAAAGACACTCAACACTACAGCTGGCCGTGCTAGTTGGCGTCGCGAGACGATCCGCACAACCCGCAAGACGGATGGTGCGCAGCTCTCGGTGACGTACAAGCATCATGCATCGATTGAGCTCGCTGAGAAGGTTATTGATGATGAGCATCGACTACTGAATGTGATGGCACACGAGTTCTGCCATCTAGCCAACTTCATGATTAGTGGTATCACGACAAACCCTCATGGCCGCGAGTTCAAGGGTTGGGCTGCAAGGTGTTCAGCCAAATTTGGAGACCGCGGCATCGAGGTTACGACCAAGCACAGCTACGACATCGACTTCAAGTACGTGTGGGAGTGCTCGGCTTGCGGGACAGAGTTCAAGAGACACTCCAAGAGCATCGACCCACAACGACATCGGTGCGGCAGCTGCAAGGGTCTTCTGAAGCAGACGAAGCCAACACCGAGAGGCGGAGGTGCCACTGGAGGTCCGAGCAAGTATCAGATATTTGTCAGGGAGCAGATGGCGGTTGTTAGGGAGGAGAACCCCGGGAGTCCGCAGAAGGTGGTGATGAAGCTCATCGCGGAGAAGTGGGCAAAGCAAGGGGGTGGTAAGACGGGTGGTAAAGGGGGTAGTAAGGGCATTGATGGTGTTCTTGAGAAGATGGTTGATTTGACCATTGAGGAAAAGTAATAGAGGGCATAGGGCATACAGGCATGAGATACCCAGTTTGGCATATTGTAGGAGTTGAACATATACTCAAATGTTATGAATAATGATGGGAAACATCACAAGTAAACGTGGGTTTCTAAAGCACTATTTCATTCTATAAATTCTCGAGGGGGCAAGTTGAGGGCTTCTGTGCATTGTTAATGGTCCCCTTTTCCTTGACCTGTGAGACACCCTGCATCGTTGTTCACTGTTATGACTTCACACCGATTAATGAGTAATAGGATCATGAAATAAAGACTCGTATCGGCCATCCAAGACCCCGAAAGAAAAATATTCATGGCTAGCTAAGCCAGCATCTTGCCCATACAGACATTCATCGATTTATCTGATCCGTCCAAAGCTAAAAGATGTCATCAGTCGTGATAGTCATCCCAGGATATCCAACTCTTCCACCCTCGTCCTATTCTATTCCATAATTCGCAATTCCCGTCCTTAAGACTCGCCAAACAGACCCCAATCCTTAATCTTGAACGTCGACCAGATACGGGCCGAGTACTCGACGGCGTCGCCGATGAGCTTGCCCTGGCGGCCGAGCTCCAGGTCAACCTCGTCCTCGTCGTACTCGCCCTTGATGTGGGGCACGTTGATGGTGATGAGGATGTCCGTCTTTTGCTTCTCGAGTCGCAGGAGCGTCAGGATGATGGCGGTAAAGTCGGGCGCCGAGGTGGTGTCGCGGGATTGGTTGACGTGAGGGGTCTGCGTCGAGATGAGGGTGTAGGCGGGAGTGCCCTCTCTGGAGGGGAGTTAGCAAGGCACGACTCTTGAAGTTCGTACAGGATGAAGAGGACCCATACTCGAGTCTGGAGAACTCAGTCTCAGCCGTGTTCCAGATCTTGACGGTGTTGATGTCGGAGCCGACCATATCCTCCAAATGCGTCGTCATGGCACGGCCGTCGACCTCAGGACCAGAGCCGGAGCTTCCAACGCGCTCAGTGATGTCAAAGATGATGCTAGTGAAACCATCCTGGTCGATCCAGACCTCCTGGTTGTCAGGAACCTGTCGCAGTTTGCTAAGAACCATAAGCATCAGATGCGGACTTGGGCGCAAAGACGAGTGAGCACGAACCTGACGTCGGCAAAGTTGGAGGGCAGATCGACAACGATTGCGCCGCCAAAGAGAGGCGTGCTGACGAATTCGGGCATTTTTCAAGTGTGTAGGGACAGCCTTGTTTTGTATGGGTTGTTCGCTTCTGTCGCAAAGTCGAAGTTGTAAAGAGTATCTCGTGGATCAGGCACCAGAGGCGACAGAAGATGTCTAAACAGGTGAGGGCAAAAAAGAGGTCACGCGCGAAGTGGTTTATCCTCGTATTTTCGAGCCAAGCTTTGAGGTGGCAGGAGGCGATTATAAGGTAACAAGATGGAAGCCTGAAAGTGGGCGACGAGTTGAGCGATGGATCATGGATGGCTCGGCTCGGGGAAGCACAGCATCCTGCAAGTCAAGTCTCAAGCTCGGGCTCAAGTCTTGGAGGGGCTCAGGTGGGATGTGACCCCGCCACATGATGACGTACGAAAAGCCTCACTTTTGGTGGTGGCAGCCACATGGCATGAGTGAATGCTGACCACGAAAAACATGGGAAAGAATACTTAAAATTCGGTTAAAAAATGTAAAAAGGAGCCAGCGAGACTCCCTCTATACAGTACTATCATTTTCCATCATCAAAAACGCAAATAGCAAAAATTCGAATCTGGAGTCTCCAGACGAATGTTTCCAAAGATTGTTTGAATGGAGTCTGTTGGGCCATTCCACGGTCACATCTGGTAAAAGGCAAGAGGTGAGTTCGATGGAAGGTCCCACTCCGAAAGGAAGCGATGTTAATTTGACTTATAACCCTCTCTCGCAAGCCCACACACCAATCAGCACACCCCTCTGATGGTGCACCTATGTCAGCAGCTGTTAACCGACTCACTCACTGCACAACGTACTTGAAGCTTCTCCCTTGTCTCGTGACACTTGTTTCTCCCCTCTTTCTCTCAACTTTTTCGACATTCAATCAATTTCTATTATACGAAATGGCTTCCGCCGCCGGTTGCATCTTCTGCCGCATCATCAAGGGTAAGAAGAATTGGAGTCGGAGGGTGAAGCCGAGAGAGTGCGAATGCGGGGAGCTGTTGAGGGGAGAGTACGTTGAGGGTGTTCATCATCTATCTTTCTCAACACCATCACCACGGTTTCAATCTCTCTACTAACCGCCGCCTTTCAATTACAGGTGAAATCCCTTGCTTCAAGCTTTTCGAGAGCGACAAGACCCTCGCTTTCCTCGACATTGGCCCCCTCAGCAAGGGTCATGCTGTATGCTCGATGCCTAACTTCGCTTGATCCGACTGACACCCTGTAGCTCGTCATCCCCAAGTACCACGGCGAGAAGCTGGCCGATATTCCCGATGACCACCTCGCTGAGGTCCTGGTAAGCTCAATTGCTCTCCTGCGGCAAGAGAATGAGGCACTGATAAGGACAAACAGCCCACTCTGAAGAAGATTGTCAACGCAACCGGTGCCACCGACTACAACATCCTTCAGAACAACGGCGCGATCGCCCACCAGGAGGTCAAGCACGTGAGTCTACCATGTTCAAATTTGCCTATGCTTTCAAATGCTAACGGTCACTTCAGGTTCACTTCCACATGGTAACACGAACCCCGTACTCCCATCCCTCGGATCCGGCCCCTAACATGTCTCTAGATCCCCAAGCCCAACGAGAAGGAGGGCCTCGGCGTTGGATGGCCTACCCAATCACCTGATATGGATGCGCTCAAGGCGTACTACGAGGATATCAAGTCCAGGATTTGAGTCGGCAATTCTGTGCAGTGTAAAGACAACGCATCATTGATGATAGCTGCGGCCTTTAAAAGCGTTTCACAGCAAGGGTCCCTGGTTTCACTATCTAGTTGCTAGGTAGAATCAGATGTCACGGCCTAAATACAATGATGATCACTAAGTTTGTTCTCATCGCCTCACTGTCTTTGTATCTCGCTGGTGTCTCGCTTTCTTCAAGAAGCATATTTAAGGCACCAACTTGGCTATTTGACGAACACTTTGAGTATCCACCATGCCAAATACCTCAACAAAGAATTGCAAGCGGATACCTAATTAGAGAGGACTTTATCGATTTTCGACGTGGAAATGAAGTGACTTTTTTTTTTTTTGGGGGGGGGAGGGGCTTTTCATCGGGAGAAGTCATATTCACTCATCGGACCTCATTGTGATATCACATCTGATAGCTGAGTTTCACAACCTGCGCAGTGATTAATTGCAACTTCATAAACGACAATGTTATTATTATGCATCATGCTCTATAACCCTAAAGTAATAGGTCAAACCCAACTGGGGTTGGGCCGAGAGTGATCAGCCAAGAACTGACTGAGAAATCCTGTGCCGGGGAGACGCTCTTTGTTTTTTTCTAACCATTCCTCGCATCTAGTCTACATCATCAGCGGCCGTGGCAGCAGAAGTGCCGGCCGCCGGGGGAACAGGCGAGTACCAGTTGGCCTTGCCGTTCTGGATAGAACCCTGTCTGTCGTAGAGCGTCCTTGCCCGGATGTAGGGGTCCAGGGTCCAGTAGCCCTCCCTCAGCGACTTGGAAATCCTCTCGCGCTCCGCCTTGATCTCGGTGACCTTCTCGCCGTCTGGGTGGCGGATCCATTCCCGGGTCGCGTGCTCAAACTGCTTGACCTGCTCAGCGCGCTCGGCCTGCAGTCGGTCCCGGGTCTCAGTGTCCTTCATCTTATCGTTCTCGCCGGCGGCGGGCTCGATGTACTTGTACTCCCAGTCCTCGTCGCCGTCGAGCTCCTTGATAAGGTGGTCTGGGGCGATGAACTCCTCGAGCTCGGCGCGGTTGTTGGTGAAGTGAACCTTGGCCGCAACGACAGGGTCCAGCCAGCCACGAATGACCTTCCAAATACCTTGTATCTTGTTAGTTGCAATTCGATGCTGATAAACTCTGGTTCACATACCTTGGAACAGCCAGGGGGCGCGGTGCACCAGGACAGCACCAAGAGACTCGGGGTAGTTGGCCTCGAAACACTTGATCATGAACTTGACAGGGTTGTAGTCCATGTTAGCCATGGAGAAGCCCGTCATGTCGAAGATGACACACTAAGGTGACTATTAGCATCGCTAATATCAATATTCTAGAGGGTTCACTTACAGCAGTATCAACTGGAGGCTCAAGGACCATACGGGCAGTCTCAATGATATAGACTGTGTACCTCTCTAGACTTGGCTCGCACTCTGCACCAATCTTGTGAAGGCGAACTCTCACAACGCAGATCGGCCGGCCATTCTTGTCGGTGCCATGCAAGAAACTCTTGCCCATTCGGAGCTGAGCCATGACGTCGGCGCTCACCTGCTTGGTAGGGGAATCGGCATTCTTCTCATCCTCAATAGCAAGGGCATCACCGTTCTTCATGATGTCGTCATCCACACGCATGTCGTTGTGTCTCCAGTGCATAGTCGACACCAGCATCACCAGAGCCTTCTCCACGTCCCATTTTCGCGCGCGGAGGAATCGTAGGACGAGAGCGTCAGGGTGATCGTGCTTCACCATGCTCCAGATGGTGTGGTGGATGGACTCAGGGGTCTCATTGGCCAGGGTATCGTAAAAGTGCTTTGTCTGGCCATACTTGTCCTCCTCGACGGGGGCCTCTGTGGGAGTTGAAGTGCCAGACTTGCCCTTTCGGAAGACACCAAATCGCTTCTTCTTCTCACCACCCGCAGGGGTTGCCTCCTCGGGTTCCTTGGGGGAGAGAAGATCAGCGCCAGTGCTGTCGTCATCGGCCACACCGGTGAGCTGAAAGATGGCAGCCCATAGCTTTCGAAGCTTCTCCTCTTGCTCAGGAGTCAGATTTCCCGGTCGACCGGGGGGTAGTTGGACAGACATGATTTCAATGTCTTGATCGAATTCTTGGGAATATGAGTTGCTGGTAGACCCTGTCGTGGACCACACCGAGGCAATAAGAACAGCAGCAAGTACAGTCGCAGCTACAACTGCCGAAGAAAGAGAGCTTGCTTCAAGTGGTCGCCTGGTTGAATGAGAGGTTGATTTGCTGGAGGGAGTCGTATAAGACCTCTGAAGGGTGAGAACAGAGGTTGTGTCAGCAATGCGGACACGCGCAGAGTAGTTAAGACTTGTTGCGACAGGTGGGGCAAGAAGTGAGGCCTTGCTTGGGTTTTCGTATCTCGTAGCAGAGACTCTCCTGAATGATGCAGGGGTTGTGTACGATCTGGCCAGTGGAGGCCTCGCAAAACCGGGGGATGAGAGTGCCAGAGAAGGGCGTAAGAACTGTTGACAAGAGCTGAGACGGCAGCTATTTGAATACAAGATCCGACTCAGTTGAGGCCTCATATGTAAGATGCCGTTGATAGGGCTGTCCAAGACTTGCCAGCGCGTAATGCAACGCCGCGTAAAAGTTGCTTGAAAGATGTGTCGTCGTTGACCGGCGCAGGAAACCCCTGTGATCAGCTCCACCTATATCGTCCAGAGCTCGCGGTTTCAGCAGCAGGACAGTTCCCCTAGGAGGCTCGAGGGGAAAAGGCCAGAGCAAGGCTATATAAATAAGCACGAGCAGTGAGATGAGATGGTGCGAGCGCAAGGGGAGAGGAAAAAAAGGCTGCTGCTCTTTTTGCTGAGAGGGTGCGTGCGGGACTTGAGAGACACCGGCCCCCGCGGAGTTTACGGGTTACGTATTGGATGTGTGTTTCTGTTAGTGCCCGGAGTACCCGGACACGCGGTTCTAGGCAAGACATGCACACGACAAGCTTAACTCGTGAGAATATTGGATGAGTATTGTGGTAATTGATATAGGATCGAAGAAACCTTTACGTAGTAGCTTGTTTTAATTTTCATAAATTTTAATGTTGAGTTTAGAAGAGGTTACTTTCTTTACCTATACTATGCAATCAGAAGCACACCTATCTCGGCCGAGCTTCATACGCGTATCTATCCAAATAGATGACACGAAGACATAAGAACGAAAGCGAAACCGACTGGGCTTCAAATAAATACGATTGAGTCATCCTAGGTCTACGAATCAAAACTCATTCTATACGTAGGGCTTAATTCGGCCCGCTGAGTAACGCTGCGCTGATCCGGACTGCCGTGAGATTCGACGAAACGTCTCTTACCCTACAGATCTGCTACCAACTCGATAAACAGAACCCTGAATGACACGCGATGCCCAAGCGCTTCTCATATGATGATGATACAGAAAAGATATTAGCGGTTGGCAGACGGCCCTGGTCAGTTGCGCCCCTAATATTAGATCGTGTCGTCGGCTCAGCCTCATCGTATGTCGTCAAGTGAGCCCCTGAGCTACGTATGAACAGCTCACACGACACCATGACGACCATGAAATTGAATCAAGGCCAGCCACATGGGCCTATCTTTCAGAGGTAAACAAACAAATCATGAGCTGTCAATAGTAGATGGTGCCTAGGACTTGATATGGAGGCTCAACTGGCTTCATGGCCAACAAAGACGAGTCATGATGAAAAGGTACTCGTGCTGCTATCGCACCAGCTCAACGGCATTGGTCCCGCCGCGGGGAAAGCCACTTTGGGAAGCCACACCTTGACTGCGGGGACGCCACAATAACAACCGCCATTTGTTGACTTTGAGTCCAAACCAACTTGACGACCACAAAGCACCAAACAGACCCTCCACCTCTTGTCCATCGCGCATCGTACGAAACGATATATCACGACGCTCAGATAACATACGCGACGACTATAACATGTCTGGCACACCTCTTGACGCTAGCGTCAAGCGCTCCAACTCCCGTTCTCATACCTCGCGTCCCACCACCCCGCTTCGTCCATCGTCGCGCTCGTCCTTCCGAGAGTCTGCTCGCGGTGCAGGAGAAAACGATGCTCCGTTCCCACTCAATGCCTTCGAGCCCGCCTTTGCAGAGCTCTCGGACGCCATGGCCGACCTTGAGGCGAACATGATGCACTTCCAGCTCATGCACGAGAGTCTGGCGAGGTTCAGCGAGTCGTTTGCGAGTTTCATGTACGGACTGAACATGAACGCTTTCTGCGTTGATTTTCCAGAGGTAGGTCTATTGGTCTTATACTCCGGGGCTATCTAGAGTTTATGTGTCTGGTATATGAGCTCACACTGCCTACAGGGGCCTGTCCCAGAGTCGTTCCGCCGAGATAGGACAAGACAAGAGCAACCCGCTGAGGCTCCTTCACGATCCGAGACTGACACAGATATGACATTCATGCAAGTCCTCTCCATATCGCGCCCATTTTCAAATTTTAACCATTCCATAGGACAACGGATACGTCCTTCGTCGAGAACCCACCCACAACAACCAAGTCGTCCAGATTCACCACACCAGAGCCCCGTCAATCCCGTCTTCCCTCAGCGCCTGGTCGGGGAACATCATCGAGAGGAAGATCCACCCGCGGAGTTGGTCGAAGCCGGCCTAGTGGGCTTGCTAGGGCGCGCGGTAGGGGAGTCAGGTGAAGTTGAAGTTTTCGCCTCGAACACACGCTCGTATACCAGGATTGCCGCCCGCAACGCCGTCCAAATATCATCCCAGCTGAATCAAATGCAACCAAAATACGCCTGAAAACCCATCATGCTTAATGCGCATGCCGATTATACGTTGAAGAGGATATCATCGAATTCGGACAAGAATCTCAGGGATCCATGGACACGTCGTTGTCCATATCGGTACGCTTTCGGTCGCCATTATCCGTCCAAAGGCCTATAGCAGCATCGGCGTCCTTGTGAGTATAAGGTCCCTCGGCGATTTGCTTGAGTCTAGGATAGTGTTAGCAAAGATACCCCGATAGAAGCAGTAAAATGGCAACAAACCTTCTCTTGTGAGGCTTTCCCTTGCGATGCGCAACCAGCGTGGCGTCCGTATCGAACCATTTGGAGCACTCGGTGCAGTAGTGTCGGCCGAGTCCAGGAAGGTCCTCGGCGGCCTTGGTCTCCATGAACTGCTTGAGGTGCTTGGGCGAGAGGAGGTCGGCCTTGACCTGGTCGACGTCTCTGGTCTTGCGCCGGGTCTTGGTGATGGTTCGCTTGTTGGTGACGCCCATGATTGCGGATTCGTGTGTTGAAGGGGTGACGCAAAAGTGTAAAGTTTGTCGACCTGTTCCTGCGACGGGTATCTCGATGATCGATAACCTGGGCGGTGGAGGTTGGCGATTCAGAAAAAAGTACAAAATTTTGGTGGGGAGACAGTGTTCACAGTGTTCTTGGTACTGCTTAGATGCGGGGAGCCCTAGCCACACAACAGCCACACAGCCACAGCTTCAAGACGACCATGTCTTGAGTCTGGAGGTCTTTCAATTGATGAAAGGACAGCAAGGACCCCTAATCGATGGATTATTCATGTGTTGAAGTATTTATTAGAGTGGATTCTTGTGATTTCGCAAAGGGTTGGTCGAAACTCATGTGATAACATCGGAGTGTTGTGAATAATGAAGGCTGCCTTGTTCACTTACACCATCTCGACCGATTGGCAGCTCGGGAAGAACTGTTCCTTGTGGACAATTCCTCAAATTATCTCGCCAGAGGATAGGAAACATAGGAAGCTGTTGCGGTTGAGCATGTATTTATTTGTCAATGAAAGGCCATATTTTCTAGATTCTCGTCAGGGTAGACTTCCTAAGTAGGCTGGTTTGTGAGGGTTCGGTCCTCCGTCAGTCGCCTATAGCTCTTGGTATGGCTAGAGAGATCCCTGGTGAGAATGGATATTATAAGGTCACCGGGTTCGACAATCGAGAGAGCGGATATCAAGTATGCTTTGGTTGTATATCCCAGCGTAGCGATAAAATAAATGCGTAAAAGAGAATATGTAAGAATTCTTCTCTACCTGAGATCGCGGTCTCTTATTCCTGGAATATGATGCAATGAACTTATGAAGAGATAGTCATAAGTTCACTAAAGATACTTAGGGATATCTAGGTTAGGTAGTGAGTAGTATGTAAAACAGCAAAGTTGGTTGGCAGATGCCCGCATGCATCTTGCACACGATCCAAGATGTGCCAATGCTAAAGACACTGCAGTGGTCTGTTAATGCCGGTGGTATGGGCATGATGGATAGCGTAATCATTGCTGACATAGATGAAAATAGCATTGAGATTGCCTTCTGCTCCAAGCTAGCGAGTGGAACATTGGTGCGCTGACCCTGGCATGACCTTCAGTATCAAAATGAGACCAATCAGTCTATCGAACGGGATCACGCATCACCCACTGAGCAAAGATCCGGGTACCTGAAACACTACAACGAGTGGCTGGTGATGTCTACTGGAGCTCCGTGTAATATGAAAAGCATTAGTGACTCGAGAAGAGTTGTACGAAAGAGCATCAGTCACGGATATAGTTAGCGAGGAATTGACCATAAACTATCGAGGCATATTGACGAATATATGCCCATGGACATAACGAACCCTTCGTGAAAGCAACCTCCTCATGAGGCTTGGCTAGATCCCAGCGACATGGCGTTCAATGATCAGCGTTGTCGCCGCCACATGTTCGAGCCGAGCCCACCTTAGGGAATTGAACGGACTTGAAACCACATGGCAGACATCAGACGTTGACCCACTATGGGAGGCCAATGATGTCCGGTCAAATAAGAATTTGTAGACTTTGTGGTGATGCTCTCCTTTGGCTACAGTTGTGGGTTTCTGAAGAGCATCCATGAGCTCTGGTTTTCACTCTGGGCGCAAGGATGCTCGAACTTGGCCTGTCAGTGGTCTGATGCTACGAATCGCCACCTGGGGTGGCTTTGTAGACTTGTGGAGGTGGATAAATTTCTCTCGTGGAGATGCAGTGTCCAGTCCCAGCCCGCTTCTTTGTCTGCTCTGACTTGGGTCCGGGTCGACGGCGGTGATGAGCTTTCATATCCCGGCCCTGTCATTGGATACATACCCTCTAGGGTCATTCGTCTGGCGTTTTCTTGCCACTGACCGGTACATATTTGTGTGGCGTGTCTTTGTTGACAAGCAGGGAACCGTTTTGCAGTTCGGTAAAGCCGCAGCCAACTGGGTTACGAGTGGTTATGCGGCTGAACACCGAGGTAGATAGAGAACCTAGCAGGAAAGCTTCCGTCTGTAATCGATTGTAATTGCGGCGGATACTATTGGATAGGGCAGGACAGGGAAGTTGGGCGGTCTGCGGCCTGGGATGCGGCAGAACAGCAGAGGAGTTGTGCAGGAACCAAGGGGGGTGTGCGGTTTCGTGAGAGCTTCATCCCCATCGTTCAAGGGTTACCCCAATTTGCCTCAGCGACTCGCCGTCGAGAACTGAGGTCCGAAATGGACACAGATTATGGGGAAGACGTCGGGGACCGAGCGTGAAGAGCTCGGAGCCTCACAATTGCGAGGGCCACGGTCCGGCGACCGAAGTAAAAGCCGCTGGTCCGAGCCTCCGCTCCGCTTTCAGGCCCTGCCAAACGGAGGAGGAGAGCCAAATTTTGCCAAGGGAAACGGGGCCCTGTTTGAGGCATGGAGACGCCCGGGGGGGAACCAGAGGCGACTATGCCGCATCAGGGTGACGATGCGGTAAATTCTTCGTTCTCTGCGGCGTGGGCCCCGGGTCAGCGCTGCGGGTGGCGCTGCATCGGTGCCGTAACGACCGGGGAACAACAGGCAGGCTGGGAAAATGAAGCCCAGCAGAGTCAAGGATAAATCCTTGGAGTTGTGCCGCCTGGGGCGTGGGGCCGCCGCGCCTGTCAGCCGAGAAGGGTCCATCAGGTTGAATAAGAAGCTTTTGTGGAAGACGGGAGTTGATTGTGAGCGGTTGTGGGCTCGAGTGAGGTGTGAGGTATTGGCAGAAATGATTAGAGACGGGGCTCATGCTGTGCTCAATGCCTGGCCCTGAAAGCAAATAAAGGTCGACAAGATAATTATGTCCATGTCTTGTCCTCATCTGCCATCTCCTAGCAACACTAATTGTTGCTTGGGTCTATGTGGAACAGACGGAAGTGGTTGTTTTTGATTTGTGTGCCTGCGTCGAGGGTAACCCACATGCTTTGCTGAAGTATCGTCCCTCCCCCTCACACCTGAATTCCGTCAAAAATTGCCGGACTGATGCAGGAGACGAACCTTCTGTCTTCTTGGCAAACAACTTGACACCATCGTCAACGTCTTGCCGTCCAGCGCCGAACCTGGAGCCGATAGAGAGCCGTGGCTCGTAACGTCGAGCCAAGCCGAGGAGGTCCGTCCGCCTCCGGTCGGTATCCGGGGGAGTGTTCGGCGATGGACTGTCGTGAGCGTCTGGGGCCCGCTGAGGTCAAGCACTGGCACCTCTGACGCAACCGTCTCCGATGGGGCCTTTTCCCCAGTGAACGGCCTAGACCAGGGCTCTGGTGGGCGCCAATGGGCGAGCTCAATGGCAGGTGGAATGGGGTTTTCTGCCCTCCGCTCACTGGCTATCGCAGTCTCGGTCGCTCGGTCTCGTGCGAGAGGAGCTTGGGGCTTCGGTATCCTCGGCCATGAGGGTGACTATCCCATGACGAAAAACGAGGCAAAACTGCATGGCATCTGCGTTCGCTGTATCATATCTGACCTCGGTTTCGCCATCGTTCGACCTTGTCATGATCACCCGTGTCTCTTATCGATGGCAATCCCTGAGGGAAGCATGTGCAAGAATTTTTGAACGGCCGTCACGGAGAGGGGTGGATGGATGGAAGAGGAGCACCGTCATGACGACAGGGTTGTGAAGATTGTTTTCTGCCCCGCCATGATTGGCTCGCAGCCTGACAACCTTGGTTATCAGCCTCCAACCTGTGGCTTCGGCTCCCCGCATCAAACCTCGAGCGCTTTGTGGCTCCACAATCACGACCTTTACAACGCCCAACCTTGACCAGCGTGTCTGTGTATGGGAACTGGCATGCGATACCCTGGGAAACAGTGCACGAGAAGTGTAACAGTATGTTTGTGGACAACCTACAATCGGCCAAGCATAGATCCATTATTTGCTTCAGGTGGCTGGCTGGTTGGTAGTGAATTACACCCAAGCCATGAACCCTGAGCCTTAGCCTAAGCCTGTATGATAGCACGTCGAATTTTATCTCTAGCTCTCAAATCCTCCTCATAAGGCTTTTCAAAGACTCCTCATCTCCCTGAATACCAACCATCCTTTGTTTGTAGCTCATCCACGGGCTGCTGTCGAAGCTGAAAGTATGGCACATATATCCGACTTTAACTGGCACTTGGATGATCCACAAGCTCATGTCGGACGGATATCGGAGTATCAGATGTCGAGCCTTTTGTTTCGACAGAAGACCAAGCAATGCCATTGGCTGAAAATTCGCTGGCTTAACATGAACTGGACAAGCGTTCGCACTGGAGACCATTCCACGGAATCTGGAGTTCCCTCATGAGGACCCTAGCCACATTTCCCCGGACCGCAATTGCAATGTCAGAGCACGTTGGTAGCTTGGCTCGGGACTCGCCGTTTGGTACATAGCTGGAATTCAGCCACCCCTGCCCGTCACATAAGGTTTTACGGGGCTATGCGGAGAGGAAGAGAACTTCCCCAGAGGCTGGGAGGCCACTGAGTAGGGTGCCATCCGCCCAACTGGGAATGGTGAATAAGGCACATAACGCAGAGCTCACGGATCACGGACAGTGTCAGGGTATCACCCATAGACTTACATAGGTAGTCGTTACTGGCAAAACGATGGGAGGACAAGTGATAGGGCATGGATGGGGGTCTCGAAGACATGTCAGACTTGATGTTGGTGCTACCACATCACCTATTGATCTCACTATCGAGGGAAATTTCGGATATCCATGACATTCTGTAGCATTACCCATCCTGCAATGAGCTGTCTTGATTACTTTAAGCACAGATTGACTGGATCATCCATGTGTAGACACTCGGCGTCTTTGAACTACAAAGACCTGGGAAAAGACTAAAGTTGGGACCATAATAAACGAAAGGATCATCTACATGGAATCCTGGATATCTGTCCACTTCTGAACAGCACATAATACTGCATGGGAGGTATCTCCCCAGACAGTCTGGAGGATGACACTATTCTCAGGTGGGTCTTGAGCTCCAGCTGACAAGCGCGACGGTAGGCGCC